AACTACACTGGAATACCACCCACTCCAACGACATCCCTGGTGAAAGTAAACTAAATATTCCCATAGAAACACCAGAGTACTAAAACTGATTTAATTCAGGACATAATTTCAATTAATTAAAACTAATACACTTGTGATGTCAGGTGTGGAACACTGATGTCAAAACTGCCAGTTTACACAATCCAAAGACTGTGTGTATTTCTAGCTTTCCATATTCAAAATATTTCTGATTTTTCAGGATTCGTGCAAAAAATAGCTTCTTTTATCGAAATAAATTGCCTCTACTTTGGTTGCCGGAGTCGCCGACTGGATGGAGTACACAAAGCCCTAATGTGTCGTATATCCCCGTTCCATGGCTGCATTGAAATTTGCAAGGGCTATAAATCCTTTGGAGATCGGAACAGTCATTGTTTATAAACACACAACGAATACAATTTCGTTTTTTTTCATTCCAAATTTCCCATTTCCTTAAGTACATAGGCAATCTGGAATAAACTGTTCCGTCGCCTCGGTGTCTAGAATCTAGCTACGTGCAGACTCCTGCACGTTCCGATACGTTGTACTAGCTTAGGCAGAACAGGTCTACATCCCTGTCACTATCGGTTCCCTTCGTTTGATGTCCAATGATTTTAAACCGAAAATATCCCGTGACAAAAGCAATTGGGTTTATCACCTTTGCTCTAACCGTTCGACCTTTGTATGGATATGTTAAACACGAGTAATCCTCTTTTGTCGAACATCAAAGCTACTTTGGCGTAACATTATCCTTGTCGGACGAGCTTCGAGACTTCGTAATAACAAAGATCGCGATACCATGCGACCCTAATCCCCATCCATAGTAAAGAAAATATGGAAGTCAATATTGGCTACAATTTAGTTTGGCAGGTCGTCCGATTTGAGTGGCAGAAACACGATTTCGGTTTTAATGGTAGTGTGTTGAAGGGATGGATGATGAAGACGGGACAACGTTCTCCAGCATTACACGGACATGCGCCGATTGGTGGCAGTTAGCATGGGCCCACCGTGGAGCCAATACGGCTACCATCAAGGAAATCTTTAGAGATCAATAACGAAATGTCACTTCTTTTATAAATTTAATTTTTTTTTATTTTGCTCATTTTATCAGATATAAAAAATACGAAGTTTCTTGCTTTTTTATTTTCTAACATTTAATTTAAAAAAAAATCGTAATGATATTTTATGATCAATGTCTCAAAACCATTTCGTTTCAAAGTTAAAAAAAATAATTAAATTCATCATTAATATAACTCTCTGAGCCAGATTCCGTGACATCGCTGGTGGTTGCAGCGTCATGGGAGATGTTTTCTTCAGGAATATGGAGTACGTGACAGGACAGCGCACTAACGGTCATGATGAAAGATTGCCAGTGTTTGTTGTGTGACCACCCCCCTAACCCATCTCCCTCTGTCCCCCTCTCCACCGGGTGGAGTGAGTGAGTGAGTTAAGTGTTACGTCACACTCAGCAATATTCCAGCTGTGTGGCGGTCTGTAAATAATCGAGTCTGGACCAGACAATCCAGTGATCAACATCATGAGCATCGTTCTACGCACCTGGGATACGATGACATGTGCATGTCAACCAAGTCAGCGAGTCTGACCACCCGATCCCGTTAGTCGCCTCTTACGACAAGCATGGGTTGCTGAACACCAATTCTTACCAGGGTCTTTATGGGTATCCCCCTGGTGGACGTGGTGAGGGTGGGCGTGGTGAGGGTGGACGTGATTAGGGTGGGTGTGGTGAGGGTGGACGTGATTAGGGTGGGTGTGGTGAGGGTGGACGTGATTAGGGTGGGTGTGGTGAGGTGGACGTGATGAGGGTGGGCGTGGTGAGGATGGACGTGATTAGGGTGGGGGTGGTGAGGGTGGACGTGATTAGGGTGGGTGTGGTGAGGGTGGACGTGATTAGGTGGGTGTGGTGAGGGTGGACGTGATTAGGGTGGGCGTGGTGAGGGTGGACGTGATTAGGGTGGGTGTTGTGAGGGTGGACATGATTAGGGTGGGCGTGGTGAGGGTGGACGTGGTGAGGGTGGGCGTGGTGAGGGTGGACGTGATTAGGGTGGGTGTTGTGAGGGTGGACATGATTAGGGTGGGCGTGGTGAGGGTGGACATGATTAGGGTGGACGTGGTGAGGGTGGACATGGTGAGGGGGTCTTAGTGTGACATCGATCGAAACGAGTAGCTTTGCTGTTGGTGGTGCGGCTTTAAATAATATTCACTCTCACTGACTCACTGTAACATCGAACGGACGCTATAGATGGGATCGCTCGCGCACGAACATCAAAGCTATTCCAAATCCGCTCTCAGATTGTGGCGTTATAACTGTTTTCACGAAGTGAGTGACGAAGGTTTTGATCGCTTTCAGTTATATTCTGTCATATCCCCGCGAGGGAGACTAAACATAAGCTTAACACATCGAGTCTTGGAAGGGACGCGAATAAAAATACATTCATTTATAAGAGGCTATCGGCGCTTATTTTCCAGACTTATCTATGCGGTGCCTCATGATTCTGTTGCCATCGTCTTCAGCTGCAGCATCAGAGAGACTTGTACATTCATTGCACTGATTCTGTGTCAGGGAGGAACCAGTTCTTGGGGTTCAATGTCAGGACAGCCTTTTCATTAATTTCACTGATACTGTCAAAGGTAGGATTGTGTCCCTGACATGCAATGGCGCAAAGAAATATATTTCCCCGAGTACATTTTAACACAATATATTGACAAGTACATGTATTGTGACGTTCATCGTGCAGATTGAATATCCTGTTCTGTATAAATAAGTGAGTGAGTTGAGTTTTACGCCGCACTCAGCAATATTCCAGCTACATGGCGGCGGTCTGTAAATAATCGGATCTGACCAGACAATCCAGGGAACAACAGCATGAACATCGATCTACGCAATTGGGATGCGATGACATGTGTCACGATCCCGTTATTCGCCTCTTACCTGTATAAATAAGACACACTTATGATGGTGTTTATGACCGAGGGTTCTGAGAAGAAAATTAGACAATATTTGTTTATTTTGATGTATATTGTAACACGCCAGGAAATATCTCATCACTATCACGTGTTCGAAAACAATACAGTCGCAATCACAAACAACGATTACTATCATGAACACCAACCAACGTCTTTGGGACACAGGAACAAGTGTCAGTTCTAAGACTGACCATCTGACCTGAGTAGTCGTCTTCTTACGGTTCTATGTCCGAATCACCATCGTTATGATACTGCCTATAGATACGAGATCACTATTTGAGGTAAGACATTTCAAATCAATTCCAAAGTTTAAACAGACTTGAAGCGTGACAACTGTTGTTGGAAATATAACACGTGACAACTGTTGTTGGAAATATAACACGTGACAACTGTTGTTGGAAATATAACACGTGACAACTGTTGTTGGAAATATAACACGTGACAACTGTTGTTGGAAATATAACACGTGACAACTGTTGTTGGAAATATAACACGTGACAACTGTTGTTGGAAAAATAACACGTGACAACTGTTGTTGGAAATATAACACGGGCAATTCTTCCTACCAGCTCATGAAAACTTACAAAGAGTTCAGATAAAGTTTAGTTCCTTTGTCCTCACTTGCGTTCATGAACCAGATCAGATCATAAAGTCAAACAGAAAAGAAAGAAAATATGAACCCATTATGTCGCAGATAAAGAAATAGTTTTACAACGTATCAGTTCAATTTCCACTGTTGAAAAGCGAGACGGCAAGTTTCCAGTACACCCTTAAAGCGTCAAACACAAGTGATTAATTCCCCCAAGTTATGTAAATCTTATCCTTTCGAATGAAATGACGCAAAACAATTATTCTCATCACGTGATCGGACGAGCCACGTGTCTAGACTGAAGGAGCATTGGCCGCCATCTTAACTTGCAGGAATCTCGTAGCACAGCGCACGGATCGCTTCTCATCAAAGAGATTCAATTAAGGATGGCCCTTAAAACGACCAGATACCTCGAGGCAAAGTATTAATAATTATAATCAGGTTACGATAGATGCATCTCACTCAGACATGATTACTTAACAAGGCTTAATATTTCAAGTATACCCTCCGGCCTCGATTCGGATTTCTTGATCTGCCATTGCAAGTCCAGCATGCCATGGTTAGCGACCCTCTTCTGGCCCTTCTTCTTACCCTGATGTTCAACACTTTTTCATTGGGTTTCTTTAATGCCGGTGCCCTCACAGTAGGGGTATTTTTTACGTTACGACAACAAGAGACCTGACCGACAAATGAGTGACCTAAACGGGGATAGTCTGGCGCGACAATTAATGGGTAATGTGATCCAATAGCAGAACTGATAACTGAGTCCATTCGCCCAGAAATCAAAGGTAAAGATGAAAGACGGTTCTGTCTACTGTAGCCAAGCGGCCATGACATAATGAGGCTGTTAGAAGGACCGGTAAATTAGCATGTTTTGGCTTCCCTTAGCTGAACGATCATATCGTCTACTAAGTTCATTACCATCTAAGAACAAGCTGTAGACTCCTCAACAAGACCAAGATGGCTGTCGGCTTCAAAAGAGAACGTAGGTGTCAGTACAGTTGAGGATATATTTAACTTATCTCCTCGTGTCAATCTTTTATAAAAATAACAAAGTTATATTGCATTGTTCCACCTATTCTAGAGAATAAATAATGTCCAACTAACGGCTCAGTCCATAAAGTCAGTGACATATTTTGGGAATAGTATTACTAAAAGGAAACAGTTTCTGGAAGATTCTGTTGATGTTTCAGCTTGCGAACATCATTATTCCATGTGTATGACATGTGACAAATAAGTGTTGACTAGTCTTGTGATTGAAACAATGGGCATCGATCGACGCATTCAGGATATGTTCTGTTGTCCCGCGTGAGCGCTCATCTGAAAGTGAACTACCTGAGGGAAGTTGATCTGTATCATAAATTGTAACTGAGAAATGTGACTATCATAAATTGTAACTGTGAAATGTGACTAACAAATGGCCTGCCTTTAAATTTGGTGCTATGACCTTTTCTGCTTTTAAATGACAATGTAATGAATATATGTTTTCGAAATAAAACACATACCGAGTATGTACTTACAATGTTTATTAATGCAAACTTGTTCTCGTCACTATATGGCTGGAATAATGCCGATGTGACGTAAAACCCAACTCAATCAATCAGGATACGATGACATGTGTCAACCAAGTCGGCGAATCTGACTGCTCGATCCCGTTATATCGCCCCTGAGACAAGTGCAGGGCGTTGAGGAAACATTCTGACTCGGAACTTCAAGGGTTATATCTTTCAGATGTATCCACACATGTGTTGAGGGTTTCATGGATGATGGAAAGAAATAGTCAGTGGCAGTTTTGTTTACTATGTAGCATCACACAACACACGGTTAAATCACAAAACACAAGTGTGGTTAGAAAATACATAACAGAGTTTGAAGACTCTTCCGGGTTAAAATAGGTAGGTTCCCAGTAACCTGTGTTTGTAATATGAGGCGATTTAGTGGATCGGATGGACAGAGTCGGTGACTCAGTTCATCGCGCATTATACTACTACTACTACTACTACTAGTTCATTTATAACTCGCATATTTCCATGCACAATGCATGCTCAAAGCGCTGATGTCAGGACGAAAAGGCATTTGGGAAAAGGTGGGTCTTTAGCGAAGTTCGAAAGGTTGAAAGTTCTGTGATTTCTCTCAAATGTTGTGGGAGATGATTCCATTCTGAGGCTGCAGCATAAGAGAAAGTTCTTTGACCAAATTTAACTGTTCTGACTTTAGGAATACACAGAAGATTATGTTTCTCGGAGCGGAGGGATCTTGTTGGTTTGTATGGAGGAAGGAGGTCGGACAGATATTGAGGTGCACTTCCAGAGAGACATCTGAAGGCGAGAATGCAGAGTTTAAAAGTGATGCGCTGTGGAATGGGCAACCAGTGGAGGTCCTTCAACACAGGGGTGATGTGAGATGACTTGGGTGAGAGAGTGACTATTCTTGCTGCTGTGTTCTGGACCCGTTGCAGTCTACCAATCTGGGATTTTGTTGCACCAGCAAGAGGCTGTTGCAGAAATCTAGTCTTGTCATCACCAATGAGAGGACAGCGATTATAGCTGACTCCTTTGTGAGAAGCTTTCGAATGTTTCCAATGTTTCGGAGGAGTAGGAATCATGTCCTGCACAAGATGGTAATGTGCTGGTCCAATGACAGCTCTGGATCAACAGTCACGCCAAGGTCCTTAACACTGTTAGATAGTGGAACAGTGGTTTCGCCAAAGTGAAACGACTTGATGTTGGTCTGTTCTCGGCGAGGTGTAGTTCTCTACCAGAAGACACTCCGTCTTGTCCTCATTGAGCTTCAGCTTGTTGGTGAACATCCATGACTTGATCTGGTCACAACATTATCGCAGCGTTTACCCGTGAAGATCCGGGTTAGAATTGATCTTCAATAATCCATGTATGTCGTAAGTGGCGACTAACGGGATCGGGTTGTCAGGCTCGCTGACGTGGTTGACACATATCATCGCTTCCCAATTGCGCACATCGATGCTCACGCTGTTAATCACTGAATTGTCTGGTCCAGACTCTCGATTATTTAAAGACCACCGCCATATAGCTGGAATATTGCTGAGTGCGGCGTAAAACTAAACTCACTCACTCCCCGCAGGAGTATCATTGCCTGTAATAACAATCGGCGGATCATCGTGATGTAGCTTCATTAGTACCTACAGCGGAATAAAACAACATTCACTCCCACGAAACCTCCACAGATTGTCGTAGGCTCAAACGCGGGATGCATAATGGATGAAAGTAGCCTTGTTGAATCCAAGACATTAAGTACAGGAAGTTGGTAAGTGTGCAGTAATCTCAAAACAGTCCAAATATTGGAGCGGGGTCGATTTTTGTGTTTGAATGATACTTGCAAGAGCAATCTGATTTTTCCACATTATTCAAAACATGTGGTTGTTTTTGCAGAAACTCAAGTGAGTGAGTATGGTTTTACGCCACTTTTAGCAATATTCCACCAATATCATGGCGAGGAAATGGGCTTTGCACATTGTACCCATGTGGGGAATCGAACCTGGGCCTTCGGCGTGACGAGCGAACGCTTTTACCAGTAGACTATCCTACCTTTCCTGCAGAAACTCAGTCTGATGTATTTTATGGACACGCGTTGGTCGTTGAACCCAGAGAAACACACAGTCCGGCCACGTGGAAGGGACAACAACTGGCCGGATACGTTCACCTGGTCAGTGACTGGAATAATTCGCCGGACAATAACATCAGACGTAGCGGTAATTTGGCAGACTGGCCATAGTCGAGACTCTTGTTCGATAGTTGCCTTGAAAACCCAGAAAAACAAGGGTCGGGGTAGGGGCGATTAAATGGGATTGGAAGGAGGTGTGGGTGGCGCCTCGGGTGGGGATGGGCAAGGTGAAAACCTGGATGAACATTGTCTAGGCATGGTATTTTGTGTTCAGACAATATCAACATGTTGTTTGAGAGGCATTTTAGAAGTTGTTTCGGTGAAGGAAAGCCAAGTTCTATGGATAGCCAACTTCTTTATTGCGATGAGTGCTACGTTTCGGTGTAGGTACTAACACCCTTATCATCAGGTCGCACTCATTGCAATCAAGAAGTTGACTATCCACAGAACTTGGTTTGTTTTTGATATAAATATGGGTTTGTGATTTGGGATGTGAGATTTGTGATTAGAATTAGGGATAACTGTACTGTGTTGCAAACACAGTACAGTTATCCCCTTTCTAATTCAACTCGTTTTACGCTGTTTTTTCGTGAAAGAAATTCATTATTTAAACCAGGTCAATGTTCCTCTAGGTCAAAGGTTAATCATATCACTCCTTGAACTTACACCATCGCCAGAAAAAGTAGTTTTAAAATTAAATTTATGATATTGTTTTGTCTTTTTTAACACAAATTCCACCCATTTCAGCTGGGTAGGGGAGTTAATTGACCAATGGTTTCTGCAAATGACAATGTCCTGCAAAACAGCATTACCCCAGTAGTGTAGGGATACATTCAAAGGTTTTGGTGACTCGATTTTCAAATTGCGACCGTGTATGCTGATTATACGGTCGGAAATTTATAGCATTGACCAATCAGAACTCGTGTTACATACTAAGTTGAATTAGAATGCATAATGAATAGACGTAACCAGCTTGAATCCAAGTCGTGTAGATGCCTTCCTTGACAGTAACGGCGTTGAGGATAACCAACAAACAGGATTTTCGGGTTATATTTCTCAAATGACTGTAAGTTGTTAATCCCGAACCTGTGACGTCCAGATGGTTGGTCAGTAAATACAACTTACAGACATCTCAAGTGAGAAAACACATCCCACATACAATGTCAACCTTACAGAACGTCACTGAAGTTAGCCTGTTGTGAGAACAATGGATGACGTCATATAGTAATTTTGCCATCACTTAGCATTGTGACGTCACTGGAATGTTGTCTTTTTGTCTTTGTTTTTGTTTTTTTCTTTATTCAGCCTCGGTAACCACGGTTTTACATAAACCATACAAGTCCACGTGGTCAGGGACTTCTGGTTTATAACCTTAAACTTTTACCAATTATATTTTCGATTGTAAATCTATAATGAATGCTTCAACATACACAAACTTTACCTATATATAATTCCAGAGCATATTACAAATCTATAATGAAAAGCTTCATAGAAACTTTGATATTGGTATAGTGAGACTTTTATATAGAGTATTCTAAGATGCCTAGCGGTTAGAACAATCGAAAAAAACAAACATTATCAGACAATAAAGGTATAGTTTTTTTGATGACGTAACAATTGAATGACGTTATCCCGTCACTGCGCCATTCTAATGTGCCCCCCTCGTAATCGAACCATTTTACATTACGTCACAATGTTAGCGACGTCACGATGCATGTCTGTTGTCATCGCCTCGTACGGCCTCCTACAGTAAACTACACCGTTGCATCCAGTTTCTTGGTTTGCTGTTGCTTCACGCAGCTAACATCACTGGTAGAAACATTACGTTTATGTTTTACGATGGTTAAAATGTGTCATTTCGACTCACAAGTTTTCAGCGACACGGTAACGTTCGTAATGTTTACATTCCCACAATGCAATTGTGGAATGTCGCTTGACTACTCAACTTCCTCTGTATGTACTGATCTAAACTTACGTTGGTAGTAGAAATGCAACGTTCATATTGCCCCATATGGTTTACGTTAATGACAGATGTAATTAAAATAATTCAGAGAAGATATTTAATCCGAACGTTAACCGTCATCAAACTGTTATCATTTTTTTTTCTGGTAACGTTCGTCTTAACGTAGGGGGCAGACACATCAATAGAACAGCGCGCCAGTTAGCCCTGTGCGAGGATTCTTAATTTAGGTCACCGACACCGTCGTTTGTTTTCTGCCTTAAATTAATCGTAATTATCTTTAGAAAGTATTAAATTTGGCATCTTAGAAGAATACACTTCGTTCTACCACCATGTATAGTGTAAGTTCTTTGCCCTGAACTATTATAGTTAAAGCACGAGGACGCTTGCGTCTCAGTGCTTTAACTATAATAGTTCAGGGCAAAGGTGTGTTTTATTACACTATACATGGTGGTAGAGCGAAGTGTATTTCTTAAATTTTAAATCCAAATTTAAAAACTCAAATATTTACCAATTATAATTTTATTGTAAATCTAACATGAGTGCTTCTAAATATATAAACTTTACATTTGAATATTTATATATTTCTAGAGCATATTTCAAATCTATAATGAAATGCTTCATAGAAACTTTGGTATCAGTATAGTGAGACTTATATATGACCTCTAAAGTTTTACAGTCATCACATTCTGGTGATTCACTTAAATGAAGTTTAAACAACCATTTCTTACATGGCACAATATTGTGTATAATCTTGAATTGTAATTCTGTCAACTTGTTGGATAACGGAAGGGTTGTAAAAAGACCATACATTTTGCTAGTATGTGATGAATCATTAAATGTATATGGTAAAGTGACTTTGTTATCCACAATAATTGAATATAAGTGCCTAGACTTAATCTTATCATTCATAATATTTCCCTGTAACTTAGATGGTGTGTTTAACAAAAACTGAATTTTCGGACTATATTTATAAAACATATTGCTGCCCATTGCCCTTTGAACAGCTTTTTGATGTTGTAAAAATATCTACTGTGAATATTCAAATTATATATCTCTTGTAACTCTAGTGTAGTTCTTAACTGTCCACTTTCATCAAGCAAATCTCTAACATATACAATGCCAGCTTTTACCCATTCATCATTATACACAGACTTCTTATTTAAAATGACTAATTTATTATTCCAAATTATTTGATTAAATATATCTTCATCAATGTTAACAGTTTCTCTCCAACCCTTTAACATATCTGGAATGTTATTACCCACAATCATACTACATGTATGGGTAGTTCTAATTCAACTTAGTATGTAACAAGAGCTCTGATTGGTCCAAATGGGTGGAATTTGTGTTAAAAAGACAAAACAGTATCATAAATTTAATTTTAAGTTCAAACAACTTAGTCGCAACGGGTTGTTGACCCAACACTGTTAGATCATGAAACAAGATTTATGGAGCGTGACGTCACCTGTTGTGGCGTCATTTGACAACAGAACTGATAATGGCCCGTAGTTGAGGAATCAGCGAGCTGCTCCTTTCTGTTACTAGAGGGCGGTTTCATCACAATTCCGTCCATTTTATCTATAATACTATGATCTATTTATCATTGTCAGATTTAGTCTGTGTCCACATAATAAACGTGTGTAGTTTGAAAAGGGAACTACTTTTTCTGGCGATGGTGTAAGTTCAAGGAGTGATATGATTAACCTTTGACATAGAGGAACTTTGACTTGGTTTAAATAATGAATTTCTTTCACGAAAAAACAGCGTAAAACAAGTTGAATTAGAATGGGGATAACTGTACTGTGTTTGCCGAATTGGGGACGTATACCGGTGGTTATATAATATCCGCTTACGCGTCGCCGATATAACTAAATTTGCGGCTATATAACCACCGGTATACGTCCCCAATTCGTCAAACACAGTATAGTTATCCCCTAATTATAATATTTAAAAAATGATCTTGTTAATCTGTTTATTTAATGATAATTATTACTAATGTCCTGTTCTATTGGTACTTTGCATTTACATAGTCTATTATACATTACAAAACAACAAAACAACTGTGTGACCTGAATATCTTCAGATTCTTCTCCAGTTTAACAACCCTATAAGGCATGCTCTGGTCTATCTAAGATGGCTCGTGCATCAAGAAAATAGACCTATAACAAGACTCTTTCAGCATCGATGTCAGAAAGTTCAATGCAAGAATAGCATAGCTTGAAAGGAACCCTACAATCCAAACGGATTACCATCCTTCAAAGAGTCTGTGTATTTGCAAAACATAACTGCCACCTCTGTGACCAACCGCCGTCCTCTCCGACACAAACCACTGCCCTCCGTGACACAAAACACAACCCTTCCTGACACAAAACACCTTGTGTCGAGGACCCGACCTATTCCGTCCTTCCTAACAGGTACGGAGAACCATTTCCCAACAGATGGCGTGATATATATAAAGAAACCGACGCATCGTGCTGAAATACAATACTTCACAGCGACATATTCATCAATGGAATTGAACATCGACGTCTACTAACCCGGAAGGTCATCTGCTCGTGGCGTCAGACCAGCAGAAGGCCGTGACCCTGGGAGACACATTGCCTCTGAGAAACCACCCCCCCCTTTCACCCCCCTTCTCCCCTCCTCCTCAGCAAACAGGAGAGGCGTTGTAGAGCTCCTCACAGCGTCTGCCGCTTCCAGACAGCGTGTAGACAACAAACCCGCGTAACGTCACTGACGTTGTCAGTTTCCCCAACTGTTGACACAATATGGCGGACACGAACTTAGCTACTTTGTCATGATGTATCAATACTTAGAGTACTTCAGCCTTTCCTGAAATGTGTCTGACACAAGATTACAGAGTCCGGACTCTCTGGTTGTTGCGGTCTGAGTGGGTCTAACATAGGCTAATGCTGTTTTCCTACAATGCGTTCAAACCAGATAAATTCAAATTATGGGATTAGTAATAGGGAGGTGGGGAGGATTTTTGACAGCTCAGAACATAGCCTTCTGACATAGGGGACGTATCAATATTTTTGGCATCATTTATTGCCAGTTACCGGAGAACATTCCATTTTTTTATTCCACACACTGTTCTTCATTGCATTATTTTGAAATAATCTCAGTATAAAATCAACTGATTCTTTTCATAAATGAAGACTGTAAATTGTATCTTTTTCGCAAAAATGTTTGACATGGTCCCTCTCTGCTATTATCGCTTTTAAGATGCAACCGTCGTCGGTGTAGAAGACATAGATTGACGTTCACGCCGTCGTGTATAATTGTCCTAATTCTACCCAACAATATGCATTTGTGAGCCTATTAAAGGTATCATTCTTACGTCGCCATCTTGAGACAAATTTGATCCAGCTCTGACAATGGTTGGTGGTAAATTGGGAATGTATGGATGGTAAAACGATGATGGATTGCCATAATTGTTTCATTCAATCTCACCGAACTCAGATGGCCAATTTCGTGATGGTGTGTTATACATAGCTCCGTCACAACGTCATCAAACACGGGCCCGGATGCAGCAGAAGATTGACGAATTGTCGTCTGCTAGTGGTGTATCTCCATCGGTAACTACAAGCAGTCTGTCCGTCTTGTAAGCACTATTCCATACAAGCTGGTCTAGACGCTGATTGTAAAGAGATCGGAGCTTCGTATTCAGTGACTGCTCCCCAAATCATCTTGAATAGCAATTGAGGACGAGAAACAACGTCGCCATTTTGAGTCGTTTCGCACGTTGCAGCTGACATTGGATGCCGTATTAACAAGGAAGACGAGATCTTGTCAGAACAGCGAGCGAACTAAAGCACCTTATGTAGTAATCCCTTTGAAGATTCATTGGAGGTATTTTGAGTCTTGGCAGGGGGCGCCTAAACTTGTCACTGAGTAGTTTTTATCAATGGGTTGTTGAGTTAAATATAAGCCCAATTTAGCGTTGTGGTAACTTTGGAAATATTTCTTTTGAATTGGCGAGGGAAGAGTTACTGCTCGAACTCTAAAACCACCGCAATACAACATGGCAATGGAAAGAGTTAATAAACTTGTGGGAGTCGGTTTTCTAAATACATCCAGGTACCTCCTCACCTCACCCCCAACCTCAACCCCAACACCAATCCCAACCTCAACCCCACCTCAACCTCACCCTCACCTCACCCTCAACCCCACCTCAACCTCACCCCCACCTCAACCTCAACCCCCACCTCACCCCCACCTCAACCTCACCCCAAACCTAAACCCCCACCTCAACCTCACCCCACCTCACCCTCAACTCCATCACACTCAAAATAAATCGTCACCGGGTATGAATCTTTCTCTCTGAAAAACCCGGAATAAGTATTATTCTTTGGGGGCTTGGGGGTGGGGTGGGAGGGGTGTGTGTACTCATTTTGTTTCGCGTCTTCTATCAGATATGGGAACATCACGATTCGGAGCACTGACTGAAGAAAATGTTCTGTCTCGAACAAAAGTACCAGGGTGCCGTTGTACAAAGCGATCTTAGTGCTAACTCCCATACCTTAACATAGACTTAAGGTAGTCTTAGCGCTAAGTTGACCGTAACTCCCATACCTTAACATAGACTTAAGGTAGTTCTAGCGCTAAGGTTGTTTTGAACAACGGCAACCAGAGTTCCAGAGTGTTGTTGTTGAGTTTTTACGCCATATTGTAATATTTGAAAAGCTACAGCTTGTTCAGCTTGACCTGATCAAGTGAATACTAATGAATTGAGTGACTGTGTCACAACTGGTTGGGTCTATTATTGTGAAGGGGTGCACCTGTGTCACATGATTGGTGTAAACCAATGGACTGATTGTTGTGCCCATGTTGAAAATTTGGAAAGCGACTACTGGGACAGAAATATTGCAGTTGAACACGAAATAGAAAAAGTGATAATTGAACTGGGTGTAGAGAGTGATAGCGAGAGTAAATCGGATTGTGAAAGTAACTGACGTCTGTAAGTTGTAAAGTTAGCAAACCAAACTAGATAGCATATGACTGTATAAACAATTCAATTAAAACAGGACATGATTGGGTTTTTTTTAGAAGTGTTGTTTTCTGGGACAAATTCTGTAACGAATCTATGTATGCATGTTTCGCACGAACGCAACATTAATAACATCCTCTGCACCCTATTTAATGAAGATAACCCGATCTGCCGCTTGTGCCATTTGACCTGCCGGGTCATGCATATGTAGAGTAGCTCAGGTCAAGCTGAACAAGCACGATTCGGAGCACTGACTGAAGAAAATGTTCTGTCTCGAATAAATGGCGGATACAAAGTTCAGGACAAGAAATACGGTTTGTGGTTTTGATTAATAGTTTTGTTCCAAACAAATCGCACATCAGTTAGCAAGCGTATGGTAACATATGTCCCGAATGATCTTTTTAAATCATATGATCTGGAGATGTATTCATAAATGAGAGGAAACACAAATGTAACAAGTTATGTTGTGTACCAAATTGGTGTACTCCAAAGAAGTGCTTCCGCCCCATCACTGTGAGAGGAAGTTATTTCTAATGACAAACATTGTGTTGCTGACGACGTTGCTGTACACGACGTTGCTGTACACAGCCGCAATGATACAGACGCAACTGAATTATCATGAAACTCAGTTCGTTAAGTTGAACTTAAATGTGACATGACCAACTGGAAATAAGCCATCTGTTGGGAGGGGCGGTGTGGTAGCCTAGTGGTTAAAGCGTTCGCTCGTCACACTGAACACCCGGGTTCGATTCCCGACTTGGGTATAGTGTGTGAGGCCAATTTCTGGTGTCCCCCGCCGTGAAAATGCTGGATTATTGCTAAAAGTGGCATAAAGCCACACTCACTCACTTCCATCCTTTGGGGTGTAAATAGTTTCCCCATATCAGGTTACAAAACCCATGTACAATAGTATATGGAGAAAAGATCGATTTCCCAGTTAATTACAATTACACTTAATATTGGCAAACACAATTCCAGAGCACGAAGGCAGATGACCTAAACCGATGTATAACATGTTAGAGTTTTTAGACGACTGAAGTCATCCCACATAGACCCCTATCCGTTCATTACTTATTTTCTCTTGGTTTTTTTTCATAAATATTTGTTTGGATATCCATTATCCAACGGCCCAGTTGTTTCGATATGGTCTTTTTCAGAACTGTCACTCACTCGTTGTTTCCCATTCTCCTGACAGCCCATTTGGAATTTAAGTCTACTTAAAAACAGTGAAAAATGCCTTGTACTTTTTATTCGAAACATTCTTCTGTGACTCAGTGCGGGTCTTTTAAAATCGAAAAAACAAATATCTTTGTAGATGTATGAATCATTTTGTCCAATCTGCTGCTATGAAGGGCGAATTTTAGTTTCCACTTTTTCTTTATAATGACAATCTTAGAAAATTATATCTGCCTAAAAAGATTTTGGAAATGAACATGGACTGCAAATAAACTCCTTCTCCTCTTTATTTATATACTTATAAGCTTTACGATATACTTCCGGAGATTAAGGGTTTGAACAGGTCCCGTAACGTGTGCTGGTGGACATAACCAGCAAGTAGGTCCGAGGGCCGGACTTGATGACGTGGTTGATGTCTGAACGGCCACTCATTCACAGTTCCTTGTGAATGTTCAAATGAGTATTTTGTATTGAAATACCCTAAAAACACTAAACGAAACCATTCAGCTTCGGGTGGTTGAAATCCTTTCTTAAGGCTTGAACGTTCGTATTTGAGCTTTGCAGCCAGTGACTCATCGTTAACGAAAACATTTACGCTGCCAACCATTGAACAGGAACAAAGGAAAGGAATGGAATATGTTTTGTCACGTGTGACCAATAGAGCGGCGTGACCTGAAGTGTCACGGCTACTTGGGTTTAAGGATTGATCTTACCGCGTAGATTAGTTAGGAAGTATTGATACCCAAAGTAAAACAGCTCATTTTGCCCCGAAGTAAATAGATTATAAAGATTTGTTTCTGACATTACTACCAATATAAACACACACGTATCCAGATATCACCGATTATCAGCCAGTGAAACACCACGGCCATATTTCTCCACTGTTGATAATGAGCCTTGGGCACGACCATTATAACCACTGATGTTTCATGGAAGGTTTCTATACTTTCTGCAGGGCTATATGTCTTTAGCAATTTCATAGTTGTCTGTATTGGACGTCTGCAGAAACTGTTTTTTGCAAATTGTCTGTAGGTATTGTTCATTTATCACGTGTCTACAGATATTTATCCGTCACGTGTCCACACCTGTTTTTCTGTCACGTGTCTCCAGCTACTGTTATCTGTCACGTGTTTCCAGCTAGTTTATTTGTCACGTGTTTTCAGCTACTGTTTATTTGTCACGTGTCTCCAACTAGTTTTTCCAGCTACTGTATATATGTCACATGTCTCCAGCTAGTTTATTTGTCACGTGTTTCCTGCTACTGTTAATTTGTCACGTGTCTCCAGCTAGTTTTTCCAGCTACTGTATATATGTCATGTGTCTCCAGCTAGTTTATTTGTCACGTGTTTCCAGCTACTGTTTATTTGTCACGTGTCTCCAGCTAGTTTTTCCAGCTACTGTATATATGTCACGTGTCTCCAGCTAGGTTATCTGTCACGTGTCTCCAGCTACTGTTTATCTGTCACGTGTTTCCAGCTACTGTTTATCTGCCACTTATCTCCAGCTACTGTTTATCTGCCACTTATCTCCAGCTACTGTTTATCTGCCACTTGTCTCAAGCTACTGTTCATCCGAATTGCATCTGCAGTCTGTGTGTATCTGTTAATTACTTAAAGTTAAATAACACATTGAAAACCTTTCAGTTCGGAGCGAGGCTAAAGCAGTGTTTGGGGGCCAAAGTAATTTTTTTATGTAATTGAAAATTGGAAGAACTGTTGCTAAATCTGATTGCGTCTATTCAATCATCACTTATTCCGACAACAGTTTGTACAAAGGCATCTGTGGCTGGATAACTGAGCGTCCAAATAAGTTGGTTCAATTAAGACAGAAGTAAGAAATGAATTTGTCACCGCGTGACCCCCACCATGTTGTAAATTCCGATAAATGCAAATTTATCGATTTTCAAAGACATCCGTGAGCAGTCTGTATTTTGACATATAGATTTTTACATTTTTTAAAAAGGTTTGAAGTCAAATTTTATTATAAAAATATTCCTTGATCGCTGATTCAGTGCCAATACTGTTAATCCTTTGGGACATAATATTGTTAACTGAAGACATTCAATCCTAAGAAACAATTAACCGAGGTAACTATTCAAGTGCATTCATATTAGGTCAATCCGATCGATGACCTTTCCAGATACAAGCATTCCCAAATATTTGTCCCTCTTATCAGGCATTTTTCATTATCTCAGCGACGTGAACCAGTAGATTTCAAGTCCATCATGTGTTGAATGATGACATAATGACATTGTAACATCATTCAATACATTGAACAACGAATCGCCTAAACGTCGCAAAAAATCAGAAACGACTTTTTCTGATGTAACACGAAATGCACGTGCATACTGACAGTATATAGCAGCCTATCAGTCGACAAACAGTGTACCGACGACTAAGACAGCATGGTATTCGAGCACGTCGACACAACCGCGGAGTGCATCTGACTCTTCAAAACCGACGTCGTCGACTGACATGGGCCAAGCGAGGTCGACGTTGGCAGATGCGTGACTGGCGACGTGTGATGTTCACCGACGAGAGTACATTTTGCCTGTACAGTAAAGACGGCCGGGCTCATATTTACAGACGAGTAGCTGAACGTTTAGCGCCGAACTGCGTTCAGCAAGTCCGACCGTTTGGAGCCGGTACCGTGATGGTGTGGGGACAGATCTGCATCGATTATTCATGGCAACCTGACTGCTCGAAGATACAGGGATGAAGTTTTGCGACCAGTTGTGTTGCCATTTGTCCAGCCACAAGCACGTGGCATTGTCTACCAACACGACAATGCAAGGCCTCATACAGCAAGACTGACAAACGACATTCTGCATAACGCTAGCATCGTTGTTTTGCCGTGGCCAGCATGTTCTCCCAACATGAATCCGATAGGACACTTATTGGACTACCTAGATGGACAAATCAGAAGACTACCAGCACCACCTGTCGCCGCTCAACAACTGGGACAAATGTCTCCTAAAGGAATGGCAACGGACCACGTCTAACGCCCATTTACGTAGGCCGATGCTCATGCTGTTAATCAGTGGATTGTCTGGTCCAGACTCGATACTTACATATGTTGCTGAGTGCGGCGTTAAACACAAAGTTACCAAACAAAACGTGGCTGATGGCCTTATAACCAAATGTATGGGGGTATTGACAGATACACAACTCTGCCAGCTATGGCCCAGGTGATGGCCTTCTAACCAAATCTATGGGGGTATTGACAGATACAACTTGTATGACATACATGTAGATGATGCAGCTGGTGAAAACGCTCTTCGTTTGAAAAAGACAGGAAACTCATTCATAAATGTTATTACATTAAATCTAATAAATAATGTATGAAATGTACTGACTGTTTAACACAGAAGATTAGATACATTGAGAAAAGTATTCATGCGAAACTATCATGATAAAGTTCAAACCTTGATAACTAGCGACCTGAATGTAATAAAAATCAGTTCAGAAAAACTGGGGGTATGGCTATTATATACATTTCTAAAGGCAACCCAAGTTCCACACGAATCTGGCCGGCGTGACGCAACATCATGCTACGACTTTCAGCCCCTTGACAGAAAGCCAGTAAATGAAATAAGCATTCTTGAAAGAACACTTATTACCAAACCCCGCCACCCAAGACATGACAAACATACAACACTTTTTCCTAAACAAAAAAAAATCCATTCCATTTAATTCTCTGTCTTATCAAATAATACCCTTACAAAGCCGGAGCTGCCGAAAATACAAAATGCCTCCCAATACAATTCAAGAACAATTTGGATTGCAAATTCACACCAATTTGATTCCAAGATATAGGAAAACATGTTACACTGAAGCGATTATACTTGAAACCGGCTCCACATACTAGCTTCAAGAACGTCAATGTGATGGTTCCGCAGTCTCAGACAAAGCACCGTAGACGTACGTCAGGCCCTGGTACATCATCAAGGCCACGGTGCCGATAACCTACTTGCCGCTAAGATTGGTAATATCTCGACGAGTCGGAGAATCGAGACAAGTCCTGCTATCAAATTAAGACGGCAAGGAATCAGAAATTCGAATCACTGAGAGGTGATTGTAAAGGCGAGCATTGTCATGGAAATGTTGAGGCTTCACATTGGCTTCCTCTTTGTTTCGAGGAATCCAATTCAAGGTTCTGATACGAAGTCTAGACGGGCAATAGAACATATCAGTGCTTTACACAAGTAATCACACACATTGAAGTGTGAATCCTAGCACTGGGCTTGCAACAACATCGTTGTCCGTGATACAGTGCGGACATTTACACTGTGACTTTACCACAGCAAATTGGGCTTGTATTGTTGGACGTACATTTAGAATTCATGAGTGAAGTTTCCTGCTGTATCAACTGTACTGACACCAGGATCACCAATATACTAATGTCTTTCAGATTAATATTCTCTCCTCAAATCTGTTTAATAACACCTATATCGTTTTTGTAAAAAAAATGCATAACTTTATGGTTGGAGCGTCAGGAATGTTAAATGAATGTCTGTTTCAATAGGACTCACGTCTTATGAGTGAGTATTGTTATTCGCACGTGTTATCAATATTACAACAATATCAAGGCGGGGAACACAACAGCATGGGCTAATAACATTGCACTCGAACACATGTATTTCTCATGACGAGCGAACGCTTTAATCAATGAGCTACCCCACCGCCCCCTTACGAGTTATGTACGTACATTAAGGCACATATCAAAATATATAGAGGATATTATATGAGTGCCCATGTCATACTATGTTTAAATGTTGGTATTTCCCGAGCGAGAGCGAGATCGGTGCCTATACCGATAATTAGGCATGAGTGTCGTAAACATAGTATGATATAGGCACGAATATATTATTCTGTTTATTACCGAAGTCGTCAAATTGAGGAAAATAAACCCAAATCTACTCTCAAACATAGGCTGGCTACCCGCCGTCGCCGCATATAGAACGCAACGTCACAGAAGAAACGTGACGTCATAGCATGGTTCATGACGTCACGTCACCATGACAAAGTGATATTTTGCCCTATGGCATCGTATGAAAAATATGAACCCCGATATTTCCTCCCCCGTAGGTAATAAAATATCATATTTCATATCTAGAACCTGGGAATGGCTAAACAGTTCCAGTAATGACTCTTCCAGTATGAGAGCATTATGACCGAATACATGGAGAGAAAAACAAGATACATGTTTACTTAATGCAAGAAATACATCCTCTGAAGATACCAGAGAGCCAGAATTCTTCAACACCGTGCCCTCGTCTCACCTGTATGTATCGTAATTCAAATTCCATTGATAATTATTAACTAAAACGAATAATTTCCGACACAAGATCAATAGTTAATGGTTTGAATATCACCTTTGTAAAATCATGGACCCTTAATAAAAAGAATTTGAGATTCTTCATTTCTTGAGACCCCCCAGTCAATCACGGACCCTGACAGATGACATTAAGTTGTTTTATTCAAAATAAATATAATCTCTGACACCAGCAACTTCGTTAGTGTGAGCCATCATTTCCTTCTCCAACCTCTAATTTCGCCAACGCCGTCAGTTCTGCCCTGTTGAACTGAGTCAAAATTCGCAATTTGTACCAGAAAGAGTTATGTGCCCTTTGCTCCCCGGAGATTTGAAAATGATGACATTTTCACTCCTATGTCTAATCGCATTTGTTGATGAATGTTTTTATTATTCAAACTCGATGTCATGCAAACCGCGAACAAAATACCAACATATTCAATAAGAGCATTCTTCATCCCCGCTCCCAGTTAGATAGGGTTTCTCGCGGGGAGTGTAGTGCCCCGTAGCTTCTACAAGGTCTAACATGGATTCTCAATTTATGAAATATCGGATCTTTATGCCAAGCGTGAAAAAATACATCATTTTCAAATTCTTCACTCTCGACCCAGTAGAACAACAAATCTGATGGCACAGTTGCAAGTGAAAGCAAATGTTTGTGAAAGAGAAAACTCGTTTGATGACAGGCTGATTGATATCTGACAAGAATTTGATCAACGCGCTTTTAATTCTACAACCGCCATCTTCAGCTTGTCACATTAAACGCGAGTAGCATCAGTAACTCGTCGATCCAGTGATCACTGATGAATGTCAGGAGTAGCAGGCATGAAATTGTAAGAACCGGGGTCCATCGTCATGGAGTTTCACCCATAACATTGTCCATACTTTCAAACAGCACAACATCTTTCTCTGTCAGAGCGAAAATATTTTAATCGTTCTCGGTTAGGTCATCGACTGTTACAACTTCCTCGCGCCCAAGATGGGTGGTCGGTGATGGTTAGATTCGGGAGCATTTGGAGTCCTTGGGCTTGCCTGGGCATCCCGAAAACCTACTCTATCACTACACGTTGTCGGTAAAACCGAAAACTGGTTGTTATTGAACGACAACGCCTGATCCAGGGCCGCAGTACGACCATAGACTTCCTGGTTTAAGTACTCATGCACTAGAAACCTGGGTCGTTTTGAGTCTTTTTCAAGGATGGAAGTGTGATAATCGTTTTAATATGTACATCAACTTACATTCACGTTTGATCATATATTCATACATTCACATATGACAATATGTTCCATACATCCACGTGTGACAATATGTCCCATACATTCACGTGTGACAATATGTCCCATACATTCACATAGGACAATATGTTCCATACATTCACGTGTGACAATATGTCCCATACATTCACATATGAAAATATGTTTATACATTCACGTGTGACAATATGTCCCATACATTCACATATGAAAATATGTTTATACGTCCACGTGTGACAATATGTCCTGTACATTCACATATGACAATATGTTCACACATCCACGTGTTACAACGTGTCCCATACATTCACATGTGACAATATGTTCTATGCATCCACTTGTGAAAATATTGTCCATACATTCACGTTTGACAATATGTTCTATACGTCCACATGTGACAATGTTGTCCATATATTCACGTGTCACAATATGTTCATACATTCACATGTGACAATATGTTCATACATTCACGTGTGACAATATATTCCATATAATGGCGTGTGACAATATGTTCCATACATTCACGTGTGACAATATGTTCATACATTCACGTGTGACAATATGTTCATACATTCACGTGTTTCAATATGTTCCATACATTCACGTGTTTCAATATGTTCCATACTATCACGTGTGACAATATTTTCCGTATATCCACGTGTCACAATATGTTCCATACATGCACGTGTTGCAACTTGTCCCATACATTCACCTGTGACAATATGTTCATACATTAACGTGTGACAATATATTCCATATATTGGCGTGTGACAATATGTTCCATACATTCACGTGTGACA